ACAATTATAAAAAAATATAAAATGTCAGTATTTTGTCAGTACTCATGTAGTCCTTTAGATTATAAACTCAAAATAACAAAGTTAGCTAAGCAATCAAACAAGGACCAGTTTGGTGTTTCATCTGATATCATGGATTTACCTCCTTTGGTGTTAGAATAATTAAGAATTATAAAATGGTTTTTAAAAAAGGTATATGTGGATCCTAGTTCTATGTATTACAATAATTTTAAAGAATACAAAAGTAAGAGAAGACACCATTTTTCTTTTATGAAACAAACCTGTATTTTACTTCCTCTTGCTAGAGATGAATTGTAAAGTAGTGCTTCTAAAAATCTTAATGTGTACATGAATTATCTGGGGATCTTTCAAAATACAGATTCTGATTCACAAGATCTGAGTTAAAGAGAATGCATTTCTAGTAGCCATCCTGGTGGTGCCAAATTCATTCAAGCACTCTGTGAGTAGCAAGGTCCCAAAGAAAAGGTATAATGTACATTAGATGCCCATACTTTACAAAACACTGGTCATGATGTTTCCAATAATATTCTAATTGATCAACATAACATTTTTGTGTGTGTGTGCCGGGGATCGAACTCAGGACCTTGCGCTCGTGAGGCAGGCGCCAGAACCACTGAGCTAAATCCCTGGGCCAACATAACATTTTTCCATTCTAACTTTACTTGACCCCTCATATGATATGTAATAATTTTATTGTTTATCATTCTTAAAATCCAAGAAACTTGTATCCTAGTCTTCTTTCTACCTTTCTTTTTTGGTCTCTTCCCAAATTCCTGATACCTACATACAAATACATCAAAGTATTCCACCCTTAGCTTCATCTCTTTCCTGTTCTGTTATCCCTGGATCACCTATGAGCTAACTGATCTAATTTTGCATCTCCAGTCTAGACATGTCTCACAATCTTAGATCCAATATATTCAACAAAAAGCCATTTTAAAACATAAACCCTTTGGTATCTCCAAATCAAAACATCAAACTGAACTCAACAATACTGCTTCCCCACCCCAGAGACACCAGCTTTGTCAACCCTATTCTGTATTGGTGGTTATCCTCTCATTGCCTAAACCAAGTAAAACTACTCTCTTTCACCAACTCCAGTTAATCTCCATCTTCTATTTCTCAAATTTCATTATTTGCTCTCTACTGTCAATACCAGATTAGATACGGATTCTTTCTTTCTTTTTTTTTTTGGTACTGGAGATCGAACTCCGGTCCTTGTGCTTGCGAGGCAGGCGGCAGAACCGCTGAGCTAAATCCCTGGCCTGATTTGGATTATTTCTGACCTGGTTACTATAGTAATCTTATCAGTCTTCTTGTTTCAATCTCATTTTTTCCCTTAATGTCATCCTCCACATTACTTTGTGATCACTGCAAACAAGTAGCTGGGATTACAGGTGAGCGGCCAAAACTACAGGTATATGGCATCATCCCTCACACTCTTGATTGTCATTATCATTCTCTCTCCCCACACCACCTCATCTCAACTTCAACCACCCCCTAACAGTCACCATGCCCTCTTATTATTTGCAGCCCCCTAAAAGTACACATTTTCAATTGCCTCTTGTGTATTGCATGTTATTATTCCCATTCTCTAAAAATGTCCTTACCAAGTTAAGTATTAATCTGCTTTCAAGTTCTACTCAAGCATTACCTACCTTAAAATGCCTTTTCTAATCCCCTCAAAGCTGAATTAGGTAACGCCATAAACTGATCTCTCCAAAATATGGCTTTCCCTATCCATACATCTACTCTAATATTTAAAATGTACTAAAATTGCTGGTTTACTCATGTCCCCCACTAAAGTGAACTTGTCGATTGGTCCTTTTAAGAAACAAGTGCCCAATCCACACTAGGTTCTCAAAAAATGCTAAATAAACTTTGAAATATAGTCATGAATAACTATTTTATTATAAACAACTTCTAGTAACTGTGTCTCTAAAGAAATAAATTTGACTTTATTTACAGATTAACAATTTTATACTTCACAAAACATAAAATTTCAAAATACTCTAGGCATTGTCAACAATCTGGAGGTATTTGTTAAAAATATTAGAAATAAAGCCTTTTGCACTTTGTTTTAACTGAGATACTTTAATTTCATCGTTCACAGTGTTAGACAAATAAAAACACTAATCTCTTCCACAATGGCCAAAACAAGGAGAGCATGGAATAGTGGTGTGAACACTGTTCAGATGGTATAGGTTTCCATCCTGACTCTACTTACTTGCTATATGACCTTGGATGAACATATCCAAGCCTTGCGTTTTTCAACAGACAACAGAGATCAAATTGTTTACCTATTCCCTGGTTGTTTCAAATATTCAGATATAAATGTGAAAGCATTTCTATGAACCATGAAGTGCTAAACAAATCCAAACTATTGCATTGGCTTCCATCCCAACATATGCCGAAGATTTTATAGGAAAAAATAGAAATTCAAGTCTCATGGGCTAATTCAGCCTCCTATATCTACCCCATATTTCTCTCCAGTGATTAAAAATTCGTAAGTAAAATTAGGTTCTGAACCACCTCAATATTCTTATGAGATAGCTGAAGTGCTTAACACCTAATTTAATTATAAGTGTTTAACATCTAATTTAATAATAATTTCATATGTTAAGTGATTATAAATTTCAAAATAAATCTCAAGGTAAGTTGTTGGTACAGTCATTTAAATTTCAGCTCCATTTTTAAAACTTGGAGGACAAAAATCAGCAGGGAATATTATTTCTAGAAATAATCTTTATTAACTATTTAGGTTGAGTACTGTCTGTTGAAATATAAACTTGATCCACTATAGACAATATAATAGTTAAAAAGTCACCCTGACAAAACCAGGATATTTCCCCCCCAAATGGCTGGCTTATGCCTTTGCTAGGCTTGCTGGTCTATCAATCAGAAGAGAAAATTTGCTGCATTTCTCTAAATTTAAAAAGTGATTAGGAACATGTTATCTTGGCTCTCAGCGATATCTTTCCTTGTTAGCTAGGGATTTGTAGGGATTACAGACAAGATTAGAACTGTTTTTAGTCTCTTCTGCAGTATTTATAAAAATAGGATTCACTAAGCTTCAAAGGGAAAAACTCCTTTTAAAAAAGAAAATCTACTATAAAAGTCAGCACTTCGGTACCTGATTGTGGTAACAAGGCCAAAATCCAAGACGAAGCCTTTTATTGCACATCGTGTTCCAACATCTTGGGCAGCCCCATCTTGCGACCTCTCCAGATTGGCTGCTCCTGCTCTCTCTACTGCAGAGAGAACTTCAATTAGAGAAATTCTGAAGCTCATAAATCTAAACTGGATACTCCCCTCACTCGAGGCAAGGATGGCAAGACTCACTAAAAATACTCAAGTTAGAAGAAATTCAAATAAATCTAAGTGGCTTAAAACCACTATAAGATAAGCAGCTGAGAGTCTTAAACAACAGTGTATTTATCAAAAAAAATTAAACTTAAAAGAATGGCAGCAAATTAGATAATCTGAAAAAACAGGCTATATAATCGTCTCTAAAAAGTGAAATCATCTCCCCTAAACTTGAATTTACAATATATACAGTAAAAAGTAGAGCTGACCATTCACATTCATAATCCTTATGAGAAAACCAAGCAAGAAAAAAAGGACACATTATTAACGTCTTTTTAATGCCCTAAAATAACTTCACTGAAAAAAAATGCTATGCTAAAAACTGGTTTAGAAAGGCAACACTTCCCTGCTGACTTAAGCCTAACTGCCCAAGCAAGGCTTCAGAAAATGTCTTTACCTTCAACAATGCACAGGCAGAAGGAGCAGAGGCTATGGCGGCCTTCCTAGTGACACTCTCAAGTCACATAAATGGGGCGTATTTCTGGAATAGACTGCCAACAAGTTACTGGAGAAACAAAACCAGCAAAAACCTGGCAAGTTAACTATGCCAACACCCTCAAGTGTTCTATTATGACATAAACCTAAGTCTTATCGAAAGTCATCTCAAGACTACAAAATCTAAACAACTTCCACACTAAGATTACCTGCTTAGTGCAAGACAATTCATTTTCTACCTGTGTTTCAAAAAGACTTCTAATGATGCATGACACTTATAAAGTATTTCTTCAAGAAAAAGGTCCACCCTAAAGATCTCAGCAATTAAGATTTACAACTGGATGAAGAGACAATTTCCAGTGCTTTTATCATCATGAATTTTTACCAAAATGTGCTGGTGTGCCATGCAACAGAAGGAGGCTAATGCTGATGAGATAGTATATTTACTAAATAATTTAACAATAATTTTACCTTACCTGAGTGTGAAAATTTGAAATGGTTGTTGTTTCAATATCTTTCTTGCCCAGAATTTCCATTTTCACTGGAGTGTTGGGGAAATTAAAAGCAAAGTAGTCCAAAAAGTCTGGGAGATAAGCAGCTGCTCCATGAACTATTGCTAAAGCATAGTAAGCAGCATTTTTCTCATTTTCACTGAATGTCAAAGCAAGAAACTCCTCTGAAAATCTCTCCATCTCCATTGGAGACAAAAATGAGAGTTCATCCATGTAAGCATGAAGGACAAGAGCACCACCATTGGACTGGTGTTCCTCATGAATAAAGTTGCTAAATTTAGTACCTGTTTTTAAGAAATTTCTACGAATAGAATGTTCCTGGTGAGTCATAAAAGGTGTTTGTACTCCCTGGGGTACCCGATATTCTTGCATGCCCAAATTTAATCGGCACAGCTGTTCATCTTTCAGATACCTGAAGGACTCCTTATTAACTCCTGAAGTGCTATTTATTTGTCCTTGGTTGAGAATTTCCTTACTGATGCGAGTCAGGCCAGCACAGACGGTTTGTACTTCCTTATTGTACATTTTAAGGCGTCTTCCTCGCATATCTTCTCGGTGTTTCTTTTTCTTTTTCTTCTTTATTTTCTTCAAGACAAAATCATCAGCTCTCTGGGTTTTACCATTTTCATCTGGTGTTTCTGGCCACAATAATTAAAAAGAAGTTAGTTGGTAGGACTAGTGTTAACATACAAGCTTCTTAAGGTACTTGATCTCAAATTAAATAGTCACCTCTCAATTTCTTAGAATTTGTCATTATAACTTACAGTTTACCAAATAAATGAGACAAAGATCTTAAAAAATGCTAACATTCTGAGTTGAAGATTATGTTAAAAAACAGGTAACAGGGGGCTGGGGGTGTGGTTAAGTGGTAGACTACATGCTTAACATATACAAGGCCCCATATTTGATCCCCAGCATCACCACAAACAACAAAAAAGCAGGTATTTGCAAGGGTAGCATATAATTTAATATGACTTACAATCAAAATTAATTTTATGTTAATTTCATATGCGCCCTATTGTACGGAACATTTGTTTTTAACCCTGCTACTGAGATAGTATATTTACTAAATAATTTAACAATAACTTTGCCCTGAGTGTGAACATTTGAAATAGTGGTTGTAAAATCTAAATTAAAGCATGTCATATCTTACATTTTGCTGTCAGTCTATATAAATTATTATGGTACATGTAGATGAACCAAACTCCACTAAGATACCTTTTAGGGGTTTTGTTTTGTTTTGTTTTTTGAAACAGGGTCTTCCTATTTAGTAGTCTTGAACTCACTATGTAGCCCAGGCTGGCCTCGAACTTCTGACAAACCTCCTCCTGGCTCAGCCTCCCAAATGCTGGGATTACAGGTATATACCATCACACTCAGCTTAAAATACCATTTTGCCTGTCAAATCACTATAGTTTTTACTGTGGGGGTTTTTGTTTTGGGGTCATTCTTAGATATGGTTGTTGGAACTATAAATTCATACAACTTTCAGAGGGCAATTTGGTGACATACATCAAAAGTCTTGAAATATTTATATGCCTAAGAAAATAATTGAAGATCTATAAAAATATCCATGATAGTAGAATTTAAAACAATAAAAATGAATCCTCTAAATGACTAAAAACAAGTATTAGTAAACAGACTGATTAAACTCTGGTAGTTACAAACTAAAAATATTACTCAGCAATTACATATTATAGATGAAAAGATCTGACTTACATACAAATTATTTTCACTCTTCTAGAAAGTCTATTCTAACAATTCTTCCCCACCTAAGGGAGTATGTAGCAATAGTTACTATTGCCATGTGCTCCCTAACAACTGTACTCCCCAACACAGCCCTTAAATCATATTGTTATTCTACACCTAATGTAAGGGATGTACAGTTTACCTTTCTTTCCAGAGCATTTAACACATGTACCCACTTAACACACGTATATTCTGACCCCATTTTTTTAAATTAATTTATTTATTTATTTATTTATTTTTTGGTACCAGGGATCGAACTCGGAACCTTGGGCTTGTGAGGCAGGCGCCAGAACCACTGAGCTAAATCCCCGGCCCTATGACCCCATTTTTATATTACACATTTATTCATTTGAACATTTATTAAGTACCTACCATTTACCTTCCAGATATACTTCTGAATACTAGGGATATGGTGTTAACTAAGGCAGACACAATCCCTATACCCTCTGTACCCTGACAATATAGTTGGTCAAGAAAAAGAAAGTACCAGGTAGTGATAAGTAGGCTGCTGTAAATGCTGAGGAAGTTCTTTTTAGAGGTGACATTTAGACTGAATCCTAACTAATAACATGAGCCAAGCATGTGAGAATTTAGGGGAAAATATTCCCCTAAATTGCAAAGGACTTAAAGAGAAGAAAAAGTCTGCTTGATCTATATATGCATTATATATGTATGTATTTATATGTGTGTGTGGGCGTGTGTATGTATATATATATAAACATACACAAAAAAAATTTCTGGAGGAATATATACCAAAGTATTAATTGTAGTTATCCACAGGTAGTAGGATTACAAATGTCTGTCTTTTATTCTGCCTACCTGTATTTTCTAATTTTCTGTAACACACATATATATATTTTTGCAATTCAAAAAATTAATTTTAATTTTTAAAAGTATTACCATGGATTAACAAGCCCAAGATAAAATGGCCTCTTTTATTTACTAGCTGGAAGATATAGCTAGCAAAAAATCTTTAGGATTAAACATCAGGCACATACCAATCTTCAAGCTTGGTCTAATATTTACTGTCTAGAATTTATCTAATATTTACTGTATAGAGTTTATCTACCATACATTAGTATGTCAGAAACACTAATATTAGTATTGATAGTATTAATAGTATCAATTAGTATTAATACTATTATTAGTATTTCTGATATAATTCAAGTAATTCAGTGTTTACACAGGTACTCCAATTAATTCTATTTTTAGCTCTGTAAAAAATAAGTTCAATAATTTAACAGCAAAGAATGTACTGGGTATAATATATAAATACAGTACACATGATAGTTGAGTACTCTATATAAAAGTTACTCCAAATCAGCAAATACAGTAAGTGACAAAACTTTCTAAAGAAAATATTTTGACATGGAAGTCAAAGACTTTCAAGCATACAGATGTCAAATAATTTTCATTGTGTTTAGCATCCGCTTTTAAGAACAAAAAGAAAAACCTTTATTTGCAAATATTACTTATAATTAAACTGAGATCATATACCAAAATATACATGCAATGAGACTGCTTATGCCGGTAAAATACAGTGTTTTATTCTATACACAACTAAATCTTTGATAATTACTAAACACTCCATAAGTCATTTCTGTTTCTTACCAAAACAAAGTTAATCTAAATACTTTGCCAAGTATCAAATCAGTAATTTAGGCAATTCTCCCAAGCAAATAAATACCATTAAATATAAGGTTAGACTGACTTAAAAATAGTCCTCTAATTACCCTCTATTAAATGTTTTAGCAATTTCACAGGAAAAGAGAGAAAATACATCTGAATAGATCTTGTTGCTTTAAGCCTCAGAAGAGCTATCTGGTATGCAGAAGATGAGTCGTGACCTAGATCTGCCACTAACATTAACATCAAGAAGGAACTGCCTTGATTGTAACACATTTTCTACATTACTATCAGCTTACCAGTGGTATTTCTAACATGGTCAAGTCTCTCTGGGTTTTATTCCAAAACTTATTTACATGAAAACCATTCAATTAGTCCACCACAGCCCATTTTAAACAAACAAACAAAAAGACTACACAAGGAAATGAAAATTCCAACACAATAAAAAAATTAAACTATGAAATAAGTTTCCATCTATCTCTGCCTCATTCTTGCTTTTCAAATGTTGACTTCTCAAGCTGAGAAAACTTGCACTTGTTTGTACAGAAATTTGAAACTATTCATCTTATACTTACGGTGTAAGATGAATTTCCATGAACAAACAAAATTTATTGTTGTTTATTTCTTGTTATGGTGACAACTGAGAATGGCATAAGCATCCACAAGTTGTTGAAGGTTATTACATAAAGTAGTCATTACTGCTTCAGGAGAAAGACACTAACTGCCTGTCCTTGAATTTAAGATGTTATTTAAAAGTCAATGTCCAAAAGCTTCACAATCTTAACATTCCTGCTAGAGTATTTTAGTTTTCCAACAGGGAATGTATTCAGGAAGTCACATGTTGAGCATTTCCCCATAGTGAAGAAGCCAAAATTTATTGACATTAGTTTTTGTTACGGTTATTGCAGTCTTATGGATGGAAACCAGGGCACTGCACATGCTATACAAGCTACCACTGAGCTACATCCCCACCCCTGACATCAGTTCTTTACAGAGAAGAAGCCAAGCCACACAACACCTATGATAAGGAAAGCTTTCACTTATCAAACTGTGAGATTCAAATTAAAGTATGTGATTCTACAGAGAAAGACACAAACATTAATTTGAAAAACAAATTGTTGCTTATCTTTAGAGGCCATTATAACTACATACAGACTAATAGATGACATTACCAGTAAAATCTTCACATATGCTAATGTTATCAATTATCACACAGCATGATTTATTTAACAACACACTACTGAAAGTTTTCATTGTTACAAAAATTAGCTTTCCAAATTATAAACCATGAATTCATAACATCATTCTTTTTTTCTTTTTTGGTACTGGGGACTAAATACATGGAGCACTGAGCTACAACCCCAGCCCATATTTTAATTTTTTATTTTGAGACAAGTTTTTTCTTTTTTTGGTACCGGAGATCGAACTCGGGACCTTGTGCTTGCAAGGTAGGCGCCGGAACCACTGAGCTAAATCCCCTGCCCTGTAAGACAAGTTCTCACTAAGCTGTCCAGGCTGGCCTCAAACTTGTGATCCTCCTGCTCCAGCCTCTTGCGTAGCTGGGATTACAGGCATGTGCCACCAGGCCCAGCTCATAATCATTCTTACATTTGAACTATACTTTAGAAAAAAAAAGTGTAGTAACTTCAATGTCTAAAACTCATGGTGCATAACCAAAACAAAACAATAATAATTATTAAGATCTTAATAATCATAATAGAGAAAAGGACAAAAGTTGTTTCCTGAAAATAAACTGTTTGGTCTTGAGAGTTCTCCTGGTTCTACACAAAACCTTAAATAAAAAGGAAAAATCAAAAATCGCTCAATCTTCAAATTTTGTGAATCACGTGTTTTTAACAATGCTTTATCCCCACACCCCTTGATATTTATGAATGACTGGCTAGGTCTGAAACCATAGTTCTACCACTTCTTAGCAATCTAACTTTTTTTCCATTTAAAGGCTTTTTTTTTTTGTACGGGGGCTCGAACTCAGCAACTTGTGCTTGCCGAGACAGGTGGCGCAACCACTGAGCTAAATCCCCGACCCATTAAAGGCTTTTTTTAAAGAGCAGTTTTAGGTTAACAGCAAAACTGACAGGAAGGTACAGAGATTTCCCATATACCCAAGTCCCTATATACACATAACCTCTCTCCCTAGCAACACTCCCTCAACAGTGATACACACATTGACACACCTTTATCACGAGTCCAATAATTTATATTAGAGCTCACTTTTGGTGTTGCATATTCTATATGTCTGGGG